TACAATTGACGAAGATATCAAGTCAAATATATATACACATGCATTTAGAACATCCTCCATTTCCCGAAGTTCGGCTTAAGCTTAAGTTATTGATAACGAATAAGTACGTCGGTAACTTCCGATCCACATTGCACTATTCGCCAACTTATAACATCTGCGAGGAAACTATTTTTGCAAGGTTTTACCGTTATCCAGGACAGGACTTAAAATTTATGAACGCCTAGTGAGAAAATATTGGAGCGGTGTTTATGTAACCCGGTTTGGAGTTTTAAATTCGTACAAGATGAAATACATTTATTTGCACTTAATATCTTTAACGTTTTTGAATAAAAATGAAGGGCGTGTTATTCAATGTCACCATCATAATGTCTATTTCATCACTAGTAACACCGACAAAACAAGTCGTTCCTATTTTCCCTTTCAAAATTATTTCTTTTTTATAGATAGATAGCTTTTATCATGAGGAATTTGCCTACACCTGCCGTCGGGCCATCTGCTCTACTTTTGGTAGGGAGACGGCCTTACCCAAGGCGGAGTAGGTTTCCTCATTCATTGGGTCCTCACTAACAACATTGTAGAATTCTCCAGTGTGTTGACACGGGTAGCATACCTTGTACTTATGTTATCAAACATAATAAGATAAAGAAGATCGTACAAGTTTATGCCCCGACCTCGGCACATTCGGATGAGAAGTTGAAACTGTTTATAAAGACATTTCTAGGGCCCTACGTAACACCACTAAGGCCTACTACAATATTGTTATGTGGATTTTAATGCTAAAGTGGGTAAGCACACAGACGTCGAATCTATTTTGGAATTACACGGTTTTGGAAGCAGAAATTACAAGGGGCAAATGCTGGTCAACTTCCTCACGAAAGAGGCGTTATTTCTGATGAATTCTTTTTTGGCGAAGAAGCTACAAAAGATGAGGACCTGGCACAGTCCCGATAACACTACGAAAATAAGATTGACTTCATCATGATGGACAAAAAGCACATATTCTTACTATAAAATTAATCGAGGCACTCCGCATATCGATTTTACGCTTGAAAAATCCCGATTTATGAAGTCTATGATTCGATCAAGTCTGCTTAAAACCAGCTCCCAACGCTTCTGCTAGAACTTAAAAACCGATTCGATGAACTGAGACCCACTTTGGATATTAACGAGGACCTTATCAGCGTAATCAAAGCCTTAAGGGATGAGGGCAACAGGTTTTGTGGTAAGCAACATATGGACCGAAAGTTGAAGTTCTCCAATGGAACACTTTAGCTTATGAAAAAAGGCGAGAGCTAACAACATCATTACCATTAGAACAGGTGACACTAACCAAGTTTGTGAGGAAAGCTGTGAGGCGGAACCTGCGTCACTATAATTCAATTGCTATACATGTGGCAAGAGAGCGATACAAAGCATCCAAAATCTTTGCTTAAGAGCTTGGAAGAAGTTACATCATAAAACTCCAGACGCATGATGGCAAATTTCTCACGTCAAAGTCTGAGGTTCTCTCTGAGATCGGACACTATTATAGCAAACGGTATGCCTCATATAAACCACAACTTAACCACAAATTGATCCCAGAGCCATGCTGACCCGCCACTATAACAACTGCTGCCAGAAATCTGCCTTGGATAGATTGAGCTGGCCCTCAGCCAACTTAAAAAATGGAAAATCCCTTGGAGAAGATGGAGTTGCAACAGAGCTCTTAAAGGCTGGGAGTCAACCCTTACTAAAAGAGCTCTGTTGAGTTTTTAACTGCATCTTACGGGATGCGAGAACTCCAAAGGTGTGGAGCAGAAACATTACAGTCTTGTTTCATAAAAAAGGTGATCGCAAGATCGCAAGACGCCGGTATACGCCTGTTTCCTTGACCTCTCCAAGGCCTTTGACCTTGTGTCCTATGAGATACTTTGGAGAAAATTGGCGGAGGGGGGCGTGCCGGCCGATTTGTTGGAAGTGTTTAGGTTTTGGTATTCCAACCAAACTAGCTATGTAAAGTGGGCTGATTCTCTGTCGGAAGGATACGTGTTGGAGTGCGGGGTGAGACGGGGGGGGGGGGGTTGCCGTCTCCCGAGCTCTTCAACATGTATGTAAATGACCTTATCGTGGAATTGAGCGGCATGCGCGTCGGGTGTCGTATAGATGGCCTTAACATTAATAATATAAGTTACGCTGACGATATGGTGCTGCTCAGCCCAACGGTGGGAGGCCTAAGTGAAATGTTAAAGGTATGTGAGATGTATGCTACTGAGCATGGGCAGACATACAATGTCAAAAAAACAGAGTACATGGTCTTTGAGGCCGCTGGTAAATGTCACAATATTGCAGTTAATGTTACCGTTAATGGCATGAATGTGAAACGAATCACTAAATTTAAATATCTGGGGCATATTATTAATGGTGACCTCAAGGATGATGCTGACATCGAAAGGGAGCGCAGGGCTCTGGCATTTAGAGGTAATATGTAGGCTCGCAGGTTTTCCCGTTGTACAAAACAAGTTAAGATTACGCTTTTTAAAGCATACTGCCAGAGCCATTGACCCACAGGCTCCCCGTGTACACGGGAGCCTGTGGGTCAAATACACCAAAAGATCGCTTGAAGCACTGCGCATCCAATATAATAATATATTCAGGATGCTGTTGGGACTGCCTCGTTTTTGTAGTGCATCGGGGATGTTTGCGGCATACCAAACAGACGGTTTTAATGCCATCATACGCAAAAAAAACCGCATCCCTTATTAGCAGGGTACGAGCCAATCACAACAGCATTCTGAAAACCGTAGCGGACAGATATACTTCGCCGCTGTGGAAATGTCTTGTACAGAGACTGATAACTGGGCCCTATCCACCCCCATGATGATCTGTCTCGGCAAAGTGTATTTATTTTATTTCCCTGGATTTTAAGCAAACCATTGTTTTTTTTTTTCTTTTATTAACCCTTGTTATTATAGTTGTTGTTATTATTATTGTGTTACTAATCTCTCTATAAGTCTTAAAATTCATATGTGAGGATTTTAATTATCTGAAATAAAGAACTTATTATTATTATTTTAGGGGTATCTGTATAGTTTTCTCATCTGGTTGGTTTCTATAAATATATAATTATAAATTAAAATGAAAAGATAAATATACATAAATATATAAAATAAATACAAAAAATACACAAATAAATAAAGATCCAACCAGATGGAAGCCCTCGGCAGAGGAGACCAAACGGCCGAGGGTTAGGAGGAAAGGGAAAGAAACCGACGGACGATGCGAGCGGTATCAAGGACCACTGCCTTCTGCATTCGAGCCCGGAGCGGTCCGTCACGGAGTCCCAGTCGCGTCAGATGACCCGAGAGGCTGACTGGGATTAGCCCATTCGTAGACCGTATTTCAGAGCGAGCTCCTGGTATAGAATTCTGGCTACTAGGTTGTGCCTGTGCAAGTACTCAGAGTTAGAAAGTGCCGAACAACCGGAGATGACATGCCTAAGCGACTCACCGGGATGGAGACAAGCTCGACAGAGGTCGACGGTGCCATCCTTTAGGATGTATCTCCGATAGTTGTTGGTCTTAGTAACCTGATCCTGTATTGCACAGACAAAACCCTCGGTTTCCCCGAAGAGGTCACCGAAACGTAGCCAGTTGAGGGAGGCGACTGTGTCTACGAAGGGCTCATGAAGAGCCCTGTAGCATCTCCCGTGGAGCTCCTTCTCCTTCCATACGGTGTCCCGGTCGGAAATTGTCTGCACTGCTGGGTCCTGCCATTGCTCGTTGGGTAAGGATAGAGGGGTAAGCCCTTTATCACTAGAAATGACGTCATTATAGAATGGATCATCCGATCTCGCCAGGAAGTAATCACGGAGGCTGCACACTTCGCGATTATGCATGGTGAGCGCGCTCAGAAAACCACGCCCACCATGCTTTCGCGGCAAGTACAGCCTCATTACCGACGATCTCGGATGATGCATCCTATGGGACGTGATGGTAGTGCGGACTTTTCTATCCAGGGCGTTAAGTTCGGTCTGAGTGCACCTGAGTATGCCAAAGGTATATATGAGGACAGGCATGACCCAGCCGTTATATGCGTGTGTCTTCTTGTATTTATTCACACCGGACAAAAGGCTGTTAAGCACTTTGGTCAAGCGTGCATAAAACACGTCGCAAACTGACTGTTTCATACCAGCCTCATCGATACCGATGTTCTGTGACATACCCAGGTATCGGTATGTTTCAGCCTCGGAAAGGGTCTTTAAGTTGACGGGCATAGATAAATCTACGCCCTCAGAGTTAGCAACCCCTCCCCTTTCAACATGAAGGACCGCACACTTATCCGTCCCCAGCTCCATTCCAATGGAATTGCTAAATTCACAAGTGATGTTTAGCAATTCCATAAGATGGGAGCGACTGGAGGCGAATAACTTGAGGTCATCCATATAGAAAATGTGGGTCACTTTTGTTCCTCCTTTCCGTAGCTGAAATCCTCTCCCGGAGCCCTCCAATAAGGTACTGAGAGGATTCAGAGAGAGGCAGAACCAGATTGGACTCAGACAATCGCCCTGGAAGATACCCCTTCTTATCCTTATGTGGTTCTCCTCAGCCATCATCCGCTCGCCCTGATAACAAAGGATCGTACTCCACTGCCCCATACACTTCTCGAGGAAGTCTCTAACTGTACAGTCAATCTTGTACAGCTCGAGGACCCTCTTTAGCCATGCATGGGGCACCGATTCGAATGCTTTTCTGTAGTCTATCCAGGCGGCGGAGAAATTCCGACGGTTGCGTTTCACCACTTTGCCAATGACCGCGTCAATGAGGAGTGGTTCCTTGGTTCCACGACCACCGCCCCGACCTCCATTTTGAGCGCGTAACATCACCTGATTTAGCTCCAGGTGACGAGTGATTCTCGCGCTCAAAATGGATGTCAGTGTCTTATATATAGTGGGTAGACACGTGATGGGGCGATATTTGCTCGGGTCTGTGGTATCCTGATCTTTAGGAACCAAGTGAGTGATCTCAGTAGTGAAGAGGCTCGGGGGCGACTTCTGATCGAGAGCCTCTTGATACTGTCGGGCGAGCACAGCGTGACACACTACGAACCCCTTCAGCCAGTAATGATGCAGGCCGTCGAGCCACCGGACTTTTCCAGTTCGGGGCCCTACGGACCGCCTCAGCCACGTCTTCAGGCGTTATGGTGACGGGGTCCATAGGCGTAACACTTGCACTCTGGCTCGCCACAACTTCCATCCAAGGGCCGTCGCTGTGGTTTACGGGCTCTGACCACAGGCCACGCCAAAATGCGACAGTGTCAGCCTGATCCGGTCCTGGGCCCGCTCCACATACCTCTGGTCGCTCCAATGATTTATAGAGCCTCTTCTGATCACTCTGGAAGAGACGATTTTGGTTTAATCGCCTTGACTTCTCGCTAAATCGTCGAATCCGCTTCCCCCAAGCAGCAATTTTTTGGTTCAGGTCATCTATGCGCTCCGTTAGTTTCTGCGTGATATCCGGCTGGGACAAACTAATATTTGTCCCAGCAAACGCCATTCTAACGGTGCGCACAACTCTCGGTCTAATATTACCCGACCTGAAGCTTGTCAGTCTGCCGATAAGGGCCCTTGCCTTTGCGATACGGTCCTCGATTCTTTTTCTCCAGGCTGGGATGGCACTACCTTGTTGAGTAGCACGTCCAGCCATGGGAAGATTTGCGCCAATAGTGCGGCATACTGCCAGTGCGGCGCCAAAAAGAATTGAGTCCGTCTCGCAAAGGTCCCGGCTGGCTTCCAAATACCGGTCACCAGCATTGGGTTAAGAGCCCGCACGACAGCCCGATTTCGCTTGCTAAGGGGTATGCGGGGGAAGTCGCGGTCGATTTTCGAGAGGCATGCTGCGCGTTTTCAGCATCGACTCTTCAAATATGCTCCTCATTTTCTCTACTTCGTGGGGGACTATTCCATCATCGTCTGAATCAACCACAAATGGAATATTGACGGCAGCGTCCACATTTGCAGTTTGCTGCGCAATTAGTGGCGCCGCATTACCAGCCGTAGCATTTCCATCCGATGAGGGAACAGCCTCACGTCGTAGTCGTTCGAGTTCGGCGTCACCAAATATGTTGGAGCGCAGGATGTACCGAACTCGGTCTGCCAGGTTTTGCTCAGTGACGGATAGAGATGGCTCCAGCTCTGCAAAAAAGCGATGCATCCGAGCCCGATATGCCAAACATCCGGTTTCTTCCCCTTTTGCCCTAAAGTACGCCCGCAGTGCGTTTGCGTTCATTGTTTGTGACCAACGCATGCAACGTGCTCCACCAGCGGTGGGTGCCGCTTGCTGAGTCCGAGAAGACCCAGCCGACACCATGCCTTCTGGTGGGGATGATGGATGCGGAGGGCTGCTAGGTGATCGTACAGCTCCTCGCGCTCGGCTGGCGGCCCGCATGCTGCCGCGTCCAGCGCCAGCTCCAGACGCGCCCCGGCGACCCCCAGGCAGCGGCCTTATGCGCGTTCCTCTTTGTACCATCATCCATTTATGGGCGCCAAATAACGGGAGACGCCCAAGCCCTGGATCGTTTCGTGGTCCTGGTCATACCCTGCACCCACAATTTTGCCTAGGCACGGCGCTCACACCTCCTGGCAGGGCGCTGACTGACTGCGCCGACGTAGTAGTTTTGTCACTTAACTGTTACGCTAGCGGGCGATGGGGTCGTCACTTCTCTATGCCTTTTTATTTTTATTTGTTATGGGGTATCTATATAGTTTTCTCATCTGGTTGGGTTCTATAAATATATGATTATAAATGAAAATGAAAAGATAAATATACATAAATATCAATAACATAAAATAAATATAAAATTACATAAATAAATGAAAACCCAAGCAGATAGAGGCCCTCGGCAGGGGAGACCAAACAGCCGAGGGTTAGGGGGAAAGGAAAAGAAACCGGCGGAAGATGCGGGCGGTATCGAGGAGCACCGCCTTCTGCATTTGAACCTGGAGCGGTCCGCCACGTAGTCCCAGCCGCCTCAGATGACCCGAGAGGCTGACTGGGATTAGCCCGTTTGCAGAGACGACTACAGGAATAATTTCGGTCGGCAGACCACCCCACATGTCGGTCACCTCGTGAGCCAGGTCCAGATATTTTGTTTGCTTGTCTGTTTCGGCTTTCACGAGGTTCTCGTCATACGGAATGGTAATGTCGACCAAAAATATCCTTGACTGTGCCCGGTCCATCAGCACAATATCAGGCTAATTCGCAAGAATAGTCCTGTCTGTGATGATGGCCCGGTCCCAATAGAGCCTGGCGCGATCATTTTCGAGCACGGCTTCCGGCAAGTACTTGTAATACGGCAATTTCCGATCCACGAAACCGTATTTCAGAGCGAGCTCCTGGTGTAGAATTCTGGCTACTAGGTTGTGCCTGTGCAAGTACTCAGAGTTAGAAAGAGCCGAACAACCGGAAATAACATGCCTAAGTGACTCACCGGGATGGCAACAAGCTCGACAGATGTCGACGGTGCCATCCTTTAGGATGTATCTCCGATAGTTGTTGGTCTTAATAACCTGATCCTGTATTGCACAGACAAAACCCTCGGTTTCCCCGAAGGGATCACCAAAGAGTAGCCAGTGGAGGGAGGCTACTGTGTCTACGAAAGGCTCATGTAGAGCCTTGTAGAACCTCCCGTGGAGCTCCTTCTCCTTCCATACGGTCTCCCGGTCGGAAATGCTAAGCACTGCTGGGTCCTGCCATTGCTCGTTGGCTAAGGATAGAGGAGTAAGCCCTTTATCACTAGAAATGACGTCATTATAGAATGGATCATCCGATCTCGCCAAGAAGTAATCACGGAGGCTGCACACTTCGCGATTATGCATGGTGAGCGCGCTCAGAAAGCCACGACCACCATGCTTCCGCGACAAGTACAGCCTCATTACCGACGATCTCGGATGATGCATCCTATGGGACGTCATGGTAGTGCGGACTTTTCTATCCAGTGCGTTAAGTTCAGTCTGAGTCCACCTGAGTATGCCAAAGGCATACATGAGGACAGGCATGACCCTGCCGTTATATGCGTGTGCCTTATTCACACCGGACAAAAGGCTGTTAAGCACTTTGGTCAAGCGTGCATAAAACACGTCGCAAACTGACTGTTTCATACCAGTCTCATCGATACCGATGTTTTGTGACATACCCAGGTATCGGTATGTTTCAGCCTCGGAAAGGGTCCTTAAGTTGACGGGCATAGATAAGTCTACGCCCTCAGAGTTAGCAACCCTTCCCCTTTCAACATGGAGGACCGCACACTTATCCGTCCCAAGCTCCATTCCAATGGAATTGCTAAATTCACAAGTAATGTTTAGCAATTCCATAAGATGAGCGAATAACTTGAGGTCATCCATATAGAAAAGGTGGGTCACTTTTGTCCCTCCTTTCCGTAGCTGAAATCCCCTCCCGGAGCCCTCCAGTAAGGTACTGAGAGGGTTCAGAGAGAGGTAGAACCAGATTGGACTCAGACAATCGCCCTGGAAGATACCCCTTCTTATCCTTATGTGGTTCTCCGCAGCCATCATACGCTCGCCCAGATGACAAAGGATCGTACTCAACTGCCCCATACACTGCTCGAGGAAGTCTCTAACTGTACAGTCTATCTTGTACAGCTTATTATTATGGCGTATCTATATAGTTTTCTTATCTGGTTGGGTTCTATAAATATATAATTATAAATGAAAATGAAAAGATAAATATACATAAATATCAATAACATAAAATAAATATAAAAGTACATAAATAAATAAAAGCCCAACCAGATGAAGGCCCTCGGCAGGGGAGACCAAACGGCCGAGGGTTAGGGGGAAAGGGAAAGAAACCGGCGGACGATGCGGGCGGTATCGAGGAGCACCGCCTTCTGCATTTGAACCTGGAGCGGTCCGCCACGTAGTCCCAGCCGCCTCAGATGACCCGAGAGGCTGACTGGGATTAGCCCGTTTGCAGAGACGACTACAGGAATAATTTCGGTCGGCAGACCACCCCACATGTCGGTCACCTCGTGAGCCAGGTCCAGATATTTTGTTTGCTTGTCTGTTTCGGCTTTCACGAGGTTCTCATCATACGGAATGGTAATGTCAAACAAAAATTTCCTTGACTGTGCCCGGTCCATCAGCACAATATCAGGCTTATTCGCAAGAATAGTCCTGTCTGTGATGATGGCCCGGTCCCAATAGAGCCTGGCGCGATCATTTTCGAGCACGGCTTCCGGCAAGTACTTGTAATACGGCAATTTCCGATCCACGAGACCGTATTTCAGAGCGAGCTCCTGGTGTAGAATTCTGGCTACTAGGTTGTGCCTGTGCAAGTACTCAGAGTTAGAAAGCGCCGAACAACCGGAGATAACATGCCTAAGTAACTCACCGGGATGGCGACAAGCTCGACAGATGTCGACGGTGCCATCCTTTAGGATGTATCTCCGATAGTTGTTGGTCTTAATAACCTGACCCTGTATTGCACAGACAAAACCCTCGGTTTCCCCCGAAGAGATCACCAAAGCGTAGCCAGTGGAGGGAGGCTACTGTGTCTACGAAAGGCTCATGTAGAGCCTTGTAGAACCTCCCGTGGAGCTCCTTCTCCTTCCATACGGTCTCCCAGTCGGAAATGCTCTGCACTGCCGGGTCTTGCCATTGCTCGTTGGCTAAGGATAGAGGGGTAAGTCCTTTATCACAAGAAATGACGTCCTTATAGAATGGATCATCCGATCTCGCAAGGAAGTAATCACGGAGGCTGCACACTTCGCGATTATGCATGGTGAGCGCGCTCAAGAAGCCACGACCACCATGCTTCCGCGGCAAGTACAGCCTCATTACCGACGATCTCGCATGATGCATCCTATGGGACGTCATGGTAGTGCGGACTTTTCTATCCAGGGCGTTAAGTTCAGTCTGAGTCCACCTGAGTATGCGAAAGGTATACATGAGGACAGGCATGACCCAACCGTTATATGCGTGTGCCTTATTCACACCGGACAAAAAGGCTGTTAAGCACTTTGGTCAAGCGTGCATAAAACACGTCGCAAACTGACTGTTTCATACCATTATTATTATTATATTATTATTCTGAAAAATTATAGACCCATTTTTTTCTTGTGTGATCAAGTTTTTTTTATTATTTTTTCCTGTCCCGCACTGTTGGATATTAGCTTTTGATACTGGTCGACACCGTTTATTTACCAAGGTATTTTAAAATTTAAGTTCATAAAGTAACACGAAAATTTTTCAACACGAAAAGAAAAGGTTTCATGTGGTAGAGCCATGGAGCTATATTTTGGTTGTAGCGCGAATGGCTCAGCTCGACCGGGGAAAGACCACGCTGTCACTGAATACCAGGTGAAATAAAACCTCAACCTATGGTGAGTGTAGAACACTGGAAGCTCGTTTTTCTGGAATTGAGGCATTCCATTTTAGACCTCAGGACTGATCATTTGACTCCATTGAAACTTGGACTGTTTTTGATTCTTTGCAGCGGTGCCAAATTGACTGGTGGTAAATCTAAGTGCTGAGATGCCTTTACAACACCAGTACGATGTCCGTCCAAGTACAGGACACAGGACAGTGAAACAAAACTAATCCAGTCGCATCGCGGAGTGAGACAAATGCACTGGAAGATGTTGTTAAGACGTTTACACTTACGCTTTGCTTTTGCTTTCATACTTTGGGACATGCTGAATAGACAAAATTAATCCTCCCAGCTTGTTGGTCTCCGCATTAATCAATACATGACTGTGCATGACGATCACGTCATGCCATTTTCATTTAACTGTTGATAGTGAAATTCTGGAAGTTGTCCAGAAATATTCCTGCCTCGAGCAGATTTTGCAATAAGAAAAAAATAACTTCGAGCAAGAAGACGATCGGAGTATTAAGTTAGGCTGGGCAGCATTTAGAAAGCTCCGTCTGGTTTTGTCGTCGCAAATACTGCAGTCTGATGACAAAAGTTTTCAACCAGTACATTCCGCCGCTACTCACCTATGGTGCCGGAACGTGGACACTGATGACACGGCTGCTCCAAAAGTTCAAAGTTGCTCAGCGAGCAATGGAAAGAGCTATGCTCGAAGTTTCTCTGGTAGACAAAATTTGAAATGAAGAAATCCGCCGGAGAACTAAGGTTACTGACATAACCTTACGTGTTTGTAAGCTGAAGTGGTAATGAGCTGGTCATGTCGGTCGCAGAAGTGAGAACCGGTGGAGTAGATGTGTTATGAAGTGGAGACCGCGTCTAGGCAAACGTAGTGTGGGACCCCCCTGAGCAGAAGGAGCAACGATCTGCCAACTACTCTAGAACTACTCTGGATGGTAGAAACTGGATGCGTGTAGCCAAAGATTGGGCTAAGTGGCGCGCCTTGTGAGAGGCCTATGTCCAGCAGTGGACTGCCGCAGGCTAATGATGACCGGAGAAGAAAAGGCGAAAGAAACTCCGCAGGTATCTTCTATTTTGTCATTTTTTAAATTTAATATTACAAAGCATAGTATATACAG